AATAATGGCCTCCCAGGTAATGTAAATATAAATAGAGGAATTACGCGAACGCTCACAAGTATAAGAATTACACTGACACTCAGGTAATATAATTACAAGTATAAGAATTACACTGACACTCAGGTAATGTAAATACAAGTATAAAAATTATACTGACACTCAGGTAATATAAGTACAAGTATAAGAATTACACTGACACTCAGGTAATGTAAATACAAGTATAAGAATTACACTGACACTCAGGTAATATAAGTACGAGTATAAGAATTACACTGACACTCAGGTAATGTAAATACAAGTATAAATTAGTATAAAAAGTTGTAAAATATGTTTGTTTGTTTTTAGTTTGTATATATATATTTTCCCATTATGTAAATTGTCCAGTAAATCATTTTAAAAAGAAGCACTGCATTCAATAATTGATTTAAAAATCAACGTGACACTGTTGCTGGAGGTCCTCCATGTTTTAACGGGCGGATCTTATCTGTGACGTATTCTAGCCATACCTGTATCTGAATCGACAACTATAGTAGACTCTGTACATTCTAGTGTATTGGAGAGTTTACAAACTGTTCATTTAATTCCTTCATATAGCTCGAACTCTCTGCAATACTTGCAATTGTTTGTTATCAGAAGTAATTTCTTTAAAAAGGCATATATCTTAATTTTCATGAGTTTTTTTTTGTGTTATTTCATTAGTGAATTAGAATTCATTATCAATATCACTTTCACATGAAGGTTCTTGCTTTTGTTTATTTCCGTTTGGAAATTACATCACACATGGCCATATCTGTTGGATATCACCCAGAACCAATAATTAATAACCCAAATGTGAAAGCTCCATAATTTTACAATTTAAACTTCGGCTTCTTTTAAATCGTAAAGCATATCTAGATATTAAATTGGAAACTATAATATTGAATGAAAGTCAACGAGGTATTGTAAACTAATAGGCCTAATATTTCTGATAAATTCACGTTCGATTGTAGAATGTTTTTTTTTTTATACAAATCCTTCTTAATTTGTTTATTACGGATGTAGAATTAAAGGAGTTCATGAACAGTATTTCAGATCTATTCCTCATCTGTGACGTGTTACTGCCCGGGAGGCCTTATGTTCAATACACGATCTCGTCAGCTGAGTTGGCCAATGTGAGACAAAAGTTTATATCAGCTAATTATCAATACTTCAAGGTTACGATTCCAGACTCTGAATCACTATAAACTAATAAGTCTAATATTTGGGATGAAAATCCCGTCAGACTATAACTTATTCTTGTTTTTGTTGATGTTGCATCCTTCTTAAATTGTCCTTTACAGATACAGCGTTTGTTTCTCATCGTTCAGTTTGATATTCTTATCATAAATATTAGGCCTAAGAATATAAGTAATTTTAGTTTTGTTTGTTGTTGAGCATAATTAGTAGTTATCGTGATAAAATAGCCAGCGACGTCATTATTTCTTGGGCTACTCTTATCAGATCTAATAGTGGGATTAGATCATCACTACCATAACGTACACACGATCCCACCAGGAAGGGCAATGTAAGTAATTCAGTCTATAACGTTTCATTATCATTCTATAATGACAAGAGTGAAAGGCTTAGAGATATATAAAGTTAGCATTTTTCCTTTTCTTAACATGTTGTTATTCTCCTTGGCATATTTTGTGATATTTTCGAATTTTATCAGATAGGAATGTTGCCTGAAAATGCTTCTTTATTATGGAAGTTGTTTCGCCTGTAATGAAACTCCCATATGGTATATTTGTAGAAATGAACTTGTGTATTACCAAATCCTTAATTTAACTTGCGTTTCTGTCCCTACGTAGGACTACTTTTCTTATTTTAAGGTAATTCGTCCTACTTTGCATCCTTTTTTAATGGGAGCGTCTTTTTTCAACCAACTTCAGGCTTCTAAATGTCGTTTATCATTACGAGATGTGATAAACATTAAAGGATATTATTTAATGATGTCTCTAGCTATTTTATCACAATAACTATTAATTATGCTTAAGTAGCAAAATTTGTCTTTTATCGTGTTTCAAGCCTTTTATTTTGTGGTGCAAATGTATAGCATGCAATACTACGCTAATTTTACGTATACTTTATATATCAGCCAATGGCATGCCACCCTGTTGCATTAGAGCCAATCGTATGGTTACATATAATATTATCATTTAAAACTAAGACACATTTGTAGTTATGGATATTGTTTGTTTGTTTTAGAGCAAAGCCACATTGGGCTATCTGTTGTGTCCACCACGGGAAATCGAACTCCGAATTATAGCGTGGTAAGTCCATAAACTTACCGCTGACCCACCGGCGGACAAACAGATACAGGTATGGAAAGAAAACCTCAGACCAAAACTAACAGTTACTTATAACACACCTTCTGCCGTTCAGATCTCATTACTATGTGTGTTCAGAAAGAATCAGGAAACATGTTGGATATGAATAAACTGTGGCCAATGAATGAACTTTTTAATAAATAAATCACACATTTCTGCTAGCAGCATATGTTATGTGCTTCTACAATACATAACGTATAATATAACTAGCACCATATATTATGTACTTCCACAATACATAACGTGTAACAGCTAGCAGCATATATTATGTACTTCCATAACGCTAAGTAACCTATTATCACGATTGGTTGATTCGTTGAAAGAAGCCGCTGCCAAAAAAAGTGAAACAAATGAGGCCAATTACTATGGTCCGCCAATGTATCAGCGATAAGTTTACGGACGTACAACGTTAAAATCCAAGGTTCGATCTCCCGTGTGAACAGAGCGCAGATAGCCCATTGTGTAGCCTTGCGTTAAAAACAAAACACTAGTAACTATGCCTGTTTAGAGTGACTGATAAAAGTACTGAATGGAAACAGACGAGAGAAAAGGGAATGTCAAGAGGAGAATACAGGCTCTGGGAAAACTTAACCTACATTCTTCAAGAGATATGCTACGACAAGACATCTGTGTAATACAAGGAAGAACCGATATGTCTGTTAGTCGCTTAACACAAGGTGAAACGTTGTTGCATATTAAAATTGAGACCTAATGATGAGTAAATTTACGTCAATCTTGAATCTTTATAAAGTGCCACAAAAACTGATAATAAATTTTGGTTGTTTCATACCTTATAGTTGTCTTTCTCTCTCTTTTTTAAACTATGGCCTTAGTATCTTTAATTTACTTTATGTAGAAAACACTGAAAAATATTGAAATATGTTACCAAGTGAGACCTATTGTTTTTAGGTGTAACAGCAAAACATCATCCTCTCAAGAATTACCAAATAAATAGGTTTGTAACATGCACAGCTTATCATCACTCTCTTTTACCAAGTTCATTAACGTGTCGTAAACAGCAGCAAGTCAGGAAGAAAGTATATGGTGATGAAACAAGTGTTTCATTGAATAAACAGCTCTTACCACAATCACAGCTGCTGACCACGTGTGTGTAGTTGATAGAAAAAAAACTGAGTGCTAACACTGAAGACTTTTCTCTTCAGAATATACGGCTGGTAATTTTCGTTTGTTTTTTGTTTTTTGTATAAATACTTAAATCTTATACTTATACCATGTTTGCTCATAGACAACGCAAATAAACAGACAGTTATATATAGATAAGAGAGGCAGAAAATTTTTGAAAATAATTTAGAAATAACAAAATAAGTTATAACATTTTGTTAAGATGTATGTTGAAAATTAAGAATATGCAATAGCTCAACTCTTGCACTATTTGCTTTCGACATATTAGAATGAATTTTTGCGTTGATATATATGTAAAAAAAAAAGACATTCCATTAAACCATTAAATTATTTTCTGAGCGATCTGGCTATCCTTCTTAACTAAGAAACTTATTTTTTATTAATCTGTCCAAGTTCGATGAAAAGTATTCTAAGATAAAAGATTAAAACTCCTTGAGGACATGATGTACTCTATGAACTCATATAGTTAGATGCATCAAAATTGAGAGAGATCTGGTGTCTACTGCCATTGAAATGAAAGGCAGAATTTCCAAGCTAACAATACTTGCCGACTGATATTATAAACATTCTTCTTCTTTCTTTCTTTTTTTTTAAGGCAGCGTTTTTGTTATATCTAAGTTCACTCAAACATAGCACTATTCCATATCCTGTACGTACGTTGGTAGTTCCCAGTTAACTCATGTTACATCCGCCTGATTAACAGCGGCGGATTAGTATACTGAAAATTAGACCCAGTTGCAATAAACATACTTTACACAACAGAATTTACGGCTTATTTTTTTTTTCTTCTTTAGGTCTATCTGTCTTTCTTAATCACCTGAAGTCTGTCTTTTCGAGGAATCCTAAACCTAGTTATTGCGTTTTGAGGATGCTCTCAATTATCCCATCCTCCTACACGACTAAAATCTAATTACCGAATTTATCACATTAAAGTCACTAGTATTGTTGTTATTTTAATACAATTAATTTAAAACGGAAGGACTCGACAGTGTTAAAGGATTTCTTCAAACCGAAACATTGAGATTCACTGTACGTTTCGAACTGGTATAATAGTTTTCATTTTGAATGAAGTTCTTATCGCCTCTATTTTTCTGTATAAAACTAAAGTCACATTATGACAACTTACCATAAAATGGAAATAAAAACATTGCTCATTCAGAGTTTGTTACTTGAAAAGTGAAATGAACGTAGAAACTTTCTAAACCAATACGTCAAATTTTGACAGCGTCACATGAAGCAAATACCAAGCACGTTTCCTCAGTATTAAAGTTCTCAGCCTACGACAAAACCTAAAACATACTTCTCAATCAGCATTGTATGCATATTTTACAAAAACGCTTGCCTTCGAGGTTTCTTCGCAATTAGGATACAACTATTTTTGTTTCAAGCTGTCATACTCAGTGTTTCCTGTGATATATTGGTCTATATGTGGTAGAAACCACGTCGTTAAAATGTTAATGTTCAATGACATGAATTAATATTCAAAAATACGAATAAAAAATACTTTAGTAGATAGTGCTTAATCCTATAGAGAATCATGACACCCCTTTAGAAGATAGTGCTTAATCCTATAGAGAATCATGACACCCCTTTAGAAGATAGTGCTTAATCCTATAGAGAATCATGACACCCCTTTAGAAGATAGTGCTTAATCCTATAGAGAATCATGACACCCCTAATAGTGTTTTAGAGAAGAATTATGACTATCTAATAAGTCACGTGTCGACCACACGCGCGCGCGCATACATATATATATATGTATCGTATTACCACAGTGAAGTTAAGACCTTGTTGCGCCCCATTACTTTAAATCTCTTATATCCGGGACATTTGTAGATTAACAGCTTTACTTGCTCAAAGGGGATCCTGGTTTCTGAAATGACTAAAAACATATCATGATTAAGAGTGAACGAAACTTTCAATTTGTTGGTAATGTTAGGGGCGTCAGTTGGCAACCACAACAGGGGCAACCCCTTCAATCTCGGAAAGGGTCCTCAAATAAGTTTCTGTGAGACGTTTCTAGTCAGATCGGATTAACACATATAGTCAAATTACGCATAGCGTAAGTTCCCCTTGTGAACTGGGCGGGGGTAACTTGAAGTCGGTGTTCTTTGCCTTCAAGTCACAAAAATACTTTACACAAACAGAATGACCTTTCACGAAATAAGTCATTATTGTGACATTTACAAAAATTCTATGCAATTTATAATTTGCGAGTTTTTGTTGTTTTTTTTTGGTAAAATAATGTTAAAAGCGATCTAGATTATTTTTACTGGTTCACCAAATCCTTTGATAATATGTTCCTAATGGCTTTGATTTGAGTTGCTTCTTCCATTATTTCTCTCCTTGATTCTCATTAACGGGCCGGTCGTCGCCTGGTAGTAAGCGTGCCCGAATGTGAATCCGAGAGTTCATGGTTAGTGTGAGTTTAGTTTAGGACCGTGAGTGTGCTATATGATCGTTAAGTCTTACTAATCGGTCAAACTTGAGTAGCCCAAGAGTTGATGGAGGTTACTGTTGACCAACGTCATTCCCTTAGTCAGCCAGTTCAAGATTCAGTACGGCTAGCGCACGCAGCTCTTATGTAACTTTGCGGGAATATTTGAAATTCACAAATAGTCCCCCATTAATATTGTTCAATGAGATTCAATGTTTCTTTATTTTTATAATTTCTCTTTTTTTTTTTTTTCATTTTGACGCCGAAACATACCTTTCTAAACGAATCTCAACAGTTCCGCAGCTATTTTCTAAGCCTAACTAAGACTCAGCTCAACACAAAACTAACATGCCTCCACATTAATAGCCAAAAACCTTTATGTTTATGTTACCAAAGAGGCCTTTTGACACCAGCATTCCATAATAGTGGTTTTCTTTTCTTGGCATCTTTCTCTTTCATTTTTTACCCCTTGATAATCATCATTCAAATAACTTTTGCATTCTAATACAGAGTTTCTTTTCAGTTTTTTTCCTGCCATTTAATCCTACTATATTCGGGGATTCACGTCTTATTTCCTTTGTCTTCTCAGCATCATTTACTAACTTTTTAAAGTTGTCAAAGAACAATGAGCTGTGTGTAACTTCTTGGTTTGCAAAGCGCTCACTTTAGTGCAGTAGAAATAACTATCATACCCGCTCGCATTTTTATAATTTAATTTCAATAACATTTAAAATTTATGTAATATTTTCAGATTTTGGTTATCTGTAAAAGTTAAATCTTGACCACTGTAAATCTGCACCTTACTATTGTAACATTTCTCCAGAGAACGCTAGCCTTGGGTTATTTCTCTGTTCTTGTGGTTGACAAGAAATTAGTGGAAGGTGACGTTCATGTTTTGCTGGTCGCTCTCCCATAAAAATACAGAATGGTCATTTTGTGTATGATGGTTAAAGATTTGTTTGTTTGTTTTAAATTTCGCGCAAAGCTAAACGAGGGCTATCTGCGCCAGCCGTCCCTAATTTAGCAGTGTAAGACTAGAGGGAAGGCAGCTAGTCATCCCCACCCACCGCCAACTCTTGGGCTACTCTTTTACCAACGAATAGTGGGATTGACCGTCACATTATAACGCCCCCACGGCTTAAAGGGCGAGCATGTTTGGTGTGACGGGGATTCGAACCCGCGACCCTCAGAGATGGTTAAAGAAGCATTGTTTCTTCGTTCTCTGACTGGACATGTTTTTTTTGTTGCTTTTGTTTTTATTTGCGTCAGTCTTGTCGTGGTCGTCATAGAGTTCAGCTTCCGTAGAAAACAAACATTCTTGTCCTCAAACCCCGGATCGTTTCCTGTTAGTTTTGTGTAATTCTATAAAATTTAACTGATATAAAAATATAGTCAAATAAATAGTTTTAAGTTCAACTATATTGGTGTTTACAGCTTTTTTTTCTTATTCTCGAAACGTAACCTGATCTTGTTTAATCAGATCTTAAGGTTTATTACCAATACGTATTAGTTTCTAAGGCTGAGATGTTTCGGTTTTCATTCTTCAGAGACTCACTGCCAGCTAGATCTTAGCATGTAACTCTTTACTTAATATACCACAGCATATCGTTTCAGGATAAGATAGAATGACGATACGAGGCAAGGGAGTACCATGTTTATCTTGACCTGTGGTCTTTTCGTACTCTGAGCGTCATGTGATATAAAGTAATTATCATATGCACGAGTTTCTGGTTACGACGATGTCAATGGAAGTGCTACATGACTTTAAGAATTTCATGCTATTTAACTGTCTGGTACTTTCTGGCAAACTCTGGTATAGTAAATGTGGTTAAAAATTGAGGTACTTAGTTTCCAAACTCGAATATGCGAAATATGATAAATTTCCAAGTTCATCATAAAATAGAAAGGTAACCAGCAGGTACAATTTAAATTCTAATGTATTAAAGTCGGCAAAAAACAACATGTTTAGCGTTGGTCTTAATTTTGTATTTGCTGACTTGAAGGCATACTCCATTAATAACTTCAGTGTAAGCTGTTGTACACTTTATATATTTGTGTTTGTTTGTACAAAGCTACGTAATAGGCTATCTGTACTGTGCCCAGCGTTTATCAAAACCAAATTTTTAGCGCTATAAGCCTTCAGACTTACAGCTGAGCCATTGAGGTGGGGGCGGGTGGCACTATATATATCTACTTTATTTTTGGATCGTTTTTCTACAGAAAACAGCAATATTAAGAACTGATGAAATTAACTGAAACCTGCTTGTCGTGATTCCCGAGTCATGAATGAGTAAAAATGTCATTACAATTTCAATAATTAACAAAAATTGTATACAGTTAAACAAACAATACCAATGCGTATGTGGCGTACAAAAATACTCTTTTCAATCAATTCACGATAATTGGGTTTTGAATGTGTTACTTGGGAGCTATACATAGAGAGATTGTACAAACGCATAATTAACACTAAGATGGACAACAATTTTCACATTAAACATTTTTATTATACGTTCTATTGCCACGATATGACATGGAACACATCTAAAAATTATCATCATTCCGACCAAAAAAAAACAACACAAAAACAAATATTGCTACAAGCGTCCAAAAATCGACCCCTATGAAATCACAACATATTTAATGGAAGCACTTTCCTTTATTTAGCTTAGTTAAACATCCCTAACTATTTAATGTGTTATATATATAGAGAGCTTACTGTTTCATCTATCACTTCGTTCATTTATACTTGTCAGTGTTTGACTGCATTACTTTGTGCAAACATTTTAGAAGGAATTATTGTTTTTCGAATAGATTTTGCTTGTTTTTATAATGAATTTCCTGGGCAGCTACAAATGGCTATCTGGATCAACCCTTGAGAGGATCCTAGTTCTGAATGGCTTTTCTTGGTTTTGTTATGTAATGCTCCTGCTGGAAGTGTAAATACATTTTGTCCCATCATTGTTTGGACATATCACGACCTCTAGTAGAAACTTTCCAAGCTATTTCTTGGTTGCCAAAGGTAACTGCTTTCATGGGAGTTAGCTCTGAAATGATAGGCTAGAGAAAAGGCACCTCCCACTGCCAATCCTTGGGCTACTCTTGTCAGACAGAATAATAGGATTAGACCGTCACTATTATAACATCCCCGCGACCCCACAGTGAGGAGTGTGTGAGTTTTTGTAGTCTTTTTTTTTTTTGTTGGCGTTAACGGAACGCGAACCACGAAACTTCCTCAGATTCAAATTCTGGAACGCTAACCATTGGGCCGCGCTCTATCTTTTCCGAGTAAAAACTGGAAGGATGGGATTAGGGAGTCAACATGCCTATCCATTTCCACTGCACGATATTTTTAACATATCCCTCTATGTGTCTTTATTCTTCATTAATTACCATCCAAAGTTCTCTGATTTGTCACTAGTACTCATTCCTTCATTTATTAATTATCTGTAATCAGTAACTAGAGATAGCATAAGTTACAAAACGTACTGTTTGATTTGAAAGTCATAACATTATTGTGTGAAGTCACCCAACCCCTGAATTATCTGTGATCAGTAACTAGAGATAGGCATAAGTTACAAAACGTACTGTTTGATTTGAAAGTCATAACATTATTGTGTGAAGTCACCCAATCCCTGAATTATCTGTAATCAGTAACGAGAGATATGCATAAGTTACAAAACGTAGTGTTTGATTTGAAAGTCATAACATTATTGTGTGAAGTCACCCAATCCCTGAATTATCTGTAAT